AGGCCTCTCTCTGCCTGCAGACGAGTGGAAGGAATTTCATTAGGAGAGATGAACACACACACATACACCTTGGGTCTGATGGCCAGTGGTAATAGGATTTGTTTACCCGTGACTGTTATCAGTGATTAGTATTATTACCATAGTGGTGGGACAGAGAGATACTCATTTCTGTTTGGCCCAGCCTCCCCTCCTAGCTGCAAACATAGCTCACCATGCCAACATTCGCAGGGGAACATGTTAGCAGACTTCCTCTTTTGAAACAGAGTTCAAAAGAATGTGGAAAGACTGGGCTCCCCAAGTTACTGCAGCGGCCTGTGAGTGCATTCATGTGAGAGCACACGCGTGTGGAGCAGTGTGCGGGAGGCTTCTTGGCCAAGTCGGTGTTGAAGTCTCTCTAGGGACTGTTGGCAATCTGTTCCAATCGTCTTTACAGCTGACCAGACGACCAAATGAACCAGGACAGGGACTGCTGCTGTGGGCCAGTCCAGCCAAGCCAAGCAGAGCTGTTACAGCAATCACACAGACATTACAGCCCACTTAATGCTCCCCTGCACACACCATATTCCATCCTCTGCTAAACTAGACAGTGCAGTCCTAACCAGCCATAGCTAGATTTAAAAATAGCACTGGAGTTAATGTAAATGTTTAAATGAATTAATTCACCAGTAAATTAAAGTGTTTTCAGATTTGAAGAGTAAAACACTTGAAAGTCATGCCAAGGAGAGCCAGAGAGTGTTGACCTCAGGGACTGGGCCTGAGGGCCCAAACACAGTGGACACCGGTTTTTTATGTATGTGGTTTGGCGCTCTTAATTATATTTCGTGTCATTACAGTAGTCATCTAGTTGAAAACATTGACTCCCTTAACTGGCTTGTTTTTTTTATTTTCTAATAAGCGTTTCTTCACTTGTTTTGGCTGCTTGTCAAACATGTTAATTTGTATGATTTATCAGACTAGCATGATGCCAATCATTTATGTCAAACATGATAAAGAGAAAATCCCAGTGGTATGCCAGATGGCTTGAACCCCTGTAGGGCAGCCTTGCCTTACGCTTTTCCCAGTATTCCCCTCCAAAAGTTTTTTTGGATTGATAAATCCAACAAAATAGTTAAATCGACCTGCTTTTAGTATGTGCTTTTTACTCAGATCCAAAGAAACCCTGGGATAGATCACTCGGAATGAGAAATTTAGTTTAAAATATGTGACATAACTTGGACATCTATTTTTGACACCTGTTCCAGTATTCTGCGGCCATATTTGCACTGCTGACTTATTTGTTCAAACCCAAATGTGGCAAGGCTCTATCCAATCCTTTTAGCTACCCATTCTACACAGTGTTGCAGTTTGTCTTCACTGTCGATGACTTTAGACATATAATGACAGATGTTACCATCGCAGTCATTATAAAAATGAAAGGTCTTTTTATTTAGCTATCTATTAATCTTGCTATTTGCTATCTTTAGTCACGACGGTAATATAAAATGCTATGTGAGTGCTAGCAAGGATCAGGTAGCTGGACCGACTGGGCACTCACAGTCCTCAATTTGAAGAGTTCAAACAGTTTGATTATCCTTATCAAAGTTTAAAAATTAATATTGACATTCTACTGTCTCATATTAGAGTTAATATCACCCTACTAAATTATGGGCCAATCAGTTGTATTCCTATACAGTATTATAAAATTGAGAATATCACCTTGGGAGAACAAGGGGCAATATGTTAATGTGAATATGTTGGTCTTATGAAAATGTTCTGAAACAATTTTCAGAGGAAATGTAGAGAGTCAGATTTTGACATCATGAGTACACACTCAGCCCATGAGAAAAAGTTGCATAGAAAAAACACTGTATCAAACACTGTGTGAGTTCAACTTTGTCTTTATAAACCTAAAAAAGAAAACCAACTGCGAAAAAAAATAAATTTGCCTTTTAAACAAACATGTTTTATGCATCAGTGTGTTTTAGTTTGTCGAAACAAAGGACACAAGTATAAGGAGAAAAAGGACATCTTCAGTGTGTTTCTAGCTTAAGTCTGCAACTCTGTAACATGTTAACTGACCACAGTACTGTACAGGTTTATTTTGCTAAGAACCCACAATCTACAAAAACAGCATTCAGCAGAGCAAACACCCAAACATATTTGTTCAGTATTCCACTTAAGGAGCTAAAATATGGCAACTTATCATTTGTAATAATGTGTGGCTTAAAAATCAGAATAGTATTTGTCTCCTAATGGTCAGTAAGATGTGATGTGTGTGAACAGGGGGCAGGCAGCAGGAATCGTGCACTTGAGATGTTACGCTCTATCAGCAAGATGAGTGTAAAGTCTGCCTGTGTCTGCTGATGTGGGCAGAGAGTTTGCTGCATAGTCAAAACCTGACTGGGTCTGAGGGTCCTTTTTTTTTTTTTTTTTTTTTTTTTTTTTTTTTTTAAACTGAGACCATGCCCATAATTACTTGCCCACTTGGCATTGAATCAATCCTCTTTCATGTGTGATGTGTTTATTTAGCTCAGCAGTGAGATTTTTTTTTTTCCGGAATGGGGATTTGGTAACACATTGGGATATGTGCAGGGTATTGAAAAGGGATTGGACTGAATCAAGGGCGTCAGGGATTGGCACATGACCTCCTAAAGCAGAACCCTAGTGGAGGGCTGTGGATATTTCAGTTTTTCTTAAAAACAGAGCTTATTAATGCATTTACAGTATATCAATAGATTATCTTGCTGTGTCGTATAACTTTGACTTTTTGATAACTCTATTTAGTTGAAAATGAATTTACCTACATTTGTATTTACTTATCTGCATATCAAAGAGCATTGTGGTAAATTTAATGAAAAACATATGGTTTACAAGGCTAGTTATTTCAAGTCAGTAAGCAATAATATGAGCTGTACATTTACTACTATCATTAAAAAGACTAGAACATGAATAATCATGTGTAATGTTATTGTGTTTTCATGTGGTGCAAAGGTTATGTACTCATTTCTATAAATTCACTGTTAAAAAATATATAAGAATTAAAAATTAGTCTTTTAGAGGCAGTTGTGACTTTGGATGGTGCAGACACTGTAATGCAAATTATGCTTCATTTCATTATATTTATTTTTAATGAACTAACTCAAACTTTTTTCTTCAAGTTGATCTACTTAATTGTGTCCTAAGGTGTATAACATATGGACCTGCTCTCTATCGGTCATCCTTGGTATTTTACTTTTGTAGTGACTCAGATCATGTACTCTCAGAGGGAAATTCTGTTTTTTCAAAATTCATTCCTAGTGTTTAATGGCCCAGCTTGGACGATTAACGGCATTATCTCTTTACTTTGGGGATATACCTAAATTTATCCTGGTTGCTGTTTATGCCATCTGAATCCAAATCATGCTTTAAACTGAAGTGTTCCACTCTGAGTTATTATATTTAAATGATTTTGGTGATGTCTCCACCACCCAGAAAAGTAAGCCTTGAGGCCTCATGCATCATATTGTGATTAATATCTGCCAATTTGATGTTAATATCTTGAACCAACTGGGTCCTGTGTTCTTGTTCTGTAGCTAATCTTTACCAATATAATAATTACACCTCTATTCATGAACTAGAGCATTCATTTTTTGACAATTAATTTAACATGATTAAAATTTATTAGGTTCCTCCTTTCATCAAGCGTTGCACAAGCTTCTGCGCACGCTCGAATTCACTAACAGATAGTGCAGCTGCTCCATGGCCATGGGCAGACAGGCTGCTACATCAACTGCTCCGTGGGCAGCGAGAGCAAGATGGCATGTAAGCAAGTGAGCAGTTTTTTTTTTTTTTTTTTCAAACATCCTGTGCTACTGCGTAAAATCCGTTGCAGTGGACAATCGACCAAGTCCATTTGTTTTATTTTTTTATGGTTTGTGGATAAAACGAGATCACGGCTGGTCAGGGAATTAAACTTGATGCTGATGGGGGAAAAATCTCCTAATTAGTACTTGATCACACTATTTCTTTAGAGGGTTGTATTTTCTTGAGTGTGTTCGGGGGGTGGGCATGTGTGCGTGCGTGTGTTTTGGGACCTTGTCAGCAGACTGAGCCACAAGGGCCCCTGTGGTAATGTGTGTATTAAATGATTAGTGTGTTAGTTAGCATAACGGCCCTTCAGCAGCGTTTAATCACTCTCAGGGGTGGGCGGCCTCACAGGAGGTGGATGGGAGGGAGGAGAAGAAAAGGGGGAGGCGGAGTAAAGGGAGAAGAGAGAGATTTAAATGGAGGAGAAGGAAATGCTGGTTGAATGAGTGAGTGGATGATCTGTAGAGAGTACGGAAAAATGAGGGGAAAAAAAAAAAGGAGTGAGCGTGACAGAGGGCAAGAATCCAACAGAAACATAATCCAGCAACGCTTACACACTCAGCAGAAAGAGATACAATCTTTACAAGGCCTGAATGTCTTGTTAATGTCAGCACTTGGCCCATCATCTGGAACTAGTCCCATAAATAGCTATTAATAACAATGCAAAATGGATGTGGATAAAGGCGGGCCCTGCCTCAGCCTTGACAACACTGCTGTTGTTGATAATTGTGCTGTTGTTGTTATGTGGGGAGGGGACGGGTCGTCTGGTGCAGACAGTCAATAATTGTTGTGAACTGCGTGTGTAGTAGTCTATTGCTACAGAAGTTGTCATGCCAGACACAGTGGTAACTGATTGACTGACAGCCTGAATGGCTCACATATTGCTTGCGCTGGTAGCAGATCAAACTACTGGTGCAGACGGCTTTTCCTTGGCGGGACATTGGTGTTGTGGTTCTGTTCTCTGCCTCTGCTGCCGCAAAATACTGGCCAAGTTCAGCTGAGGCAGGCCGGGTAGTCTGCAGTACGCCAGATGGGTCAAGGAGTCTGCTGTCTTTTTTATCCTTGGTGGTAACAATGATGCTGATTATAATGACAGTAACATTAATGATAAGTATGATAAAAAATATGCAGCTCTCTTCATAGCAATCTGAAAAAGTTGTGTGTTTGCATTGCAGAAAGAACTAGATGCCACCGCCACACAGCTTGCCAACAGACAGGACGAGAGTGAACAGTCCAGGAAGAAACTAATCGACCTGAGCCGCGAGTTCAAGAAGAATACACCAGAGGTGAGAAAATCAGATATTCACAGACACGCACCAACACACAAACATGCATATATTCCGCAGTTCTTTTGACAATCATAGTTTGCCACAGTGTTTCTCTGTGTCTGTTCTCCTCCTCTTAACTGCAGCCATGATTATTTACTGAGAAAGCAGGGGAGGAGTAGACGGCGCAGAGATGCGGGCTTGGCTCCCAAAAATAGTCTCTCCATTAGTTTCCCTGAAATCCTAAAGAGACAAAACAGAAAACCCCTCAGGAGTTTGTATTATCTGACCTAGTTTTTTATGTGTGCAGAAAGTGTGGTCCATGAGTGTGTATGTGAGAGGGAGGAAGACAGAGAGAGAGAGAGAGAGCAGGAGGGAGAGAAAGAGAGTGTGACAACACTACTAAGTGGGATCAGGAGGGAATTCTGTCCTGTTCCTGTGTTCCCATCACTCCTCCTGGGAATATTTGTTTCATCTCTGTTACCAAGGCAACACATTTTAAACCACACAGCGAAAACAAAGTATTGTTGTGTTATTATTGGTAATGTCACCATGGTGAATTATTGATGGTAGTATGAATAATGCATGAATGGAGTAGACAGTGGATAGAAAATTGTCAACTCTCTGTGGAGTTGACAGTAGACCTATTATAGTTACCACAGGATGAGCACTGTGACTATTGACTTCAGCATGTAGCCCAACCAGGGCAGAGGAATATACACTAGAGGAAACTGTACCTGCATACAAAAGACGCTAATTTCACTTTACCCTGCACATTCATCTCTAATCTCATTCTCAAGTATAACCACATAACTAGCAACACACACAGGGAAGCAAGACAGACACAGAGGTGTGGAAGCACACAAATGGAGGCAGATAGAGAACACACAAAGAAAACATGCAGACGCAGAGGCGCACACACAAACACACAGAGGCAGATAGCCTAGATCACAGAACAGGACACACACATTCATCAGTGTAACAAGGCTGTGATTTAGGAAGGCTCCTCTGGCGTCTGTGTGGCCCCTGGCATCTCCCTGGTATGTGGAGGAGGAATCTGAGCCAGGCCAGACGAGCGACAGGATTCATTACAGGGCTGTAACAGGCTCAATAGGAATCAGCACTAAAACTCCTGGCGTTTGGAAGTGTATAAGCATCCAGGCTGCCTACCAAATAGGCTGGTTCAAAACGTGTGATGGTCTGATCTTGATTAAAAATGCCCTGATCGTCTTGTGTGCATTTGCGGAGCTGTGTCTTCCGTCTCGTGCGTGGCTGTGTGTGTGTGTGTGTGTGTGTGTGTGTGTGTGGTTGACCAGCCTATAGAGCGGGCTGTGAGCTCTCTGTGGTCCACACCAGTCAGCGGAGATCACAGTCACATCAGATCAGACTGCATTAGGCTGAGCGGGAGTCCGTCTCTGATCCATTATTCAACAACCAGGAGACCAGCCCACGTTGACTGTGTCTAGTCTGCTGAGCTGTACTTGGCGTGAACTGCACTCATGGTCTGCATAATAACACACACACACACACACACACACACACACACACACACACACACACACTGGCTTTTGTAGCATTTTGAAAGTAGTGCAAAGAAATGCAGCGTGAAAACAAAGTTTTCATAATTCATTAGGACTGACACACTGTTGAAATTTTTTTTTTCTGAGACCACCTCTCACTGAGCTTCCTAAGTTGTCTGAATTATTCATCTAGTTCTTAATTTCCTTTTAGTTAGTCAAGACTTCTCTACTACACTGTTATAAAGGCAAGGGTGGGAATGGTTGTAAAATGTCCCAGAGATTGCTAGCCAGAGGCAGTGGTAGTAAAACAACTTTGTGTGTGCTTGTGTGTGTGTGCACGCATGCACATACACACGTTTGTGTTTAGCTGGAGGGTAGACAGACAGCAAATGTGAGTTCCATACTCCCTGGAGGATTCCTCAGGCTGGCCTGTCTGCTGTCTGCCGGCAGCTCACACACCAGCCATCCATCTCCTGCTGCCTGGCCCCCTCCACTCCCTCACTATACACACACACACACACACACACACACACACACAGATTGACCATGGTGTCTGTGTGCATTGTTATGTTATATGGTCATAAATCTTTGGAAGTGGAGGGGGCAAGGGGGCGGAGCACTAGAGAGTGGACCAAAGAGGTTCACTGCTGGGGTATTCGGTTAAAGGAGTAGCTTGCCTCTATGTGTAATCTGAATGTGTTTGTTTTTGTGTGTTCAGTGTGCGTTGTTGAGCGTGTGTGGAGACTCTTCAAGGTTTCTGAAGTATTTAGTCGCCTCCAAAACTTGAAAATGCAAGTTTGGAAGATCAACATCTAATCTCAAATAAAATTAGGATTTTAATGAACTTGGCCGGAAAAAAAATCAGCAACTTCAAGATGTTGTTTAATAAATGACGGTAATGTCGGCTCCTCATGCAGACACAGTCTCAACAAAAGTTGAAGATTATGTTTTGAGCAAAGGTAGTAATTATTGGAGGACTAGTAGACTAGACTGTGTTACATTATACAGAGGTTTCCTTTTTTGCTTCCAGTATATACATAAATATTTACATAAATTTAAAGCCACAGTAAAAAATAGTATGAAATAGTGAAATGAAAACAGTCTTTTACGCTAATTTATACTAATACAGACAGATGTGTGAGCACATTTTGCTTGGTTCTGACAAAACAATGGAACCTAAGCTACCTAAGCAAAATAAGATAAGAAAACACATTATTTTTATTTATCCAAGCAGGAAGTAGTGCGGGTCATCTAAATTCTAACTGAAAGGAAACTGAAATGCAAAATTAGAATATAATCAAAATCTAATGCAAATGACAGAACTGACACTTCTCTGGTTTTTTCGTGGGTGTTTTTTTTGTGTTCATGCTTATCGTGTGTGAGAAAGAGAGAGCATGAGCAGTAAAGGGGGTGGGGTCAAGGGGGGTCATTATCCTCAGCAGGGGGAATACTGAATTGGCCCAGACAAACAGCCACAACGACCCCTGATGAGGTAACAATGGAGCAGGGTCACCAAGGTCATGACCTGTCCTCAGCCCCAGACAAGCGGCCTGTCTGGACCAACCTGGGTTGAGGCCAGGCCCAGACACTGGTCCCAGATCAGTTTGGGAGGCACGCTCCCTGCAGCATCGGTTATGCTTTTAGACAGAGGTTTCTAAAAGGCGCAGAGTCTCACAAGCACACATCTGTCGTTGCCCTACTTCACATCTTCATTAGGCAGTTTTGTGAGTATGTGTGTGTGTCCACAAACTGTGCAAATCAAATGTTCCTGTACAGAATGTCCTATTCTGCTGTGCTTTTTACCGTACGCTCCAGTTCAGTTTGTCAGGATGTAGGCTCAGCTAACAGCATGGTGATTTGCATGTTCCCCTGATACATACTCGACTGGCTATCTAATCTGAAACCGCTGAGTCGTACTGGAAAGTCATGCAATGGGACTTGCAGGATAAAAAGCATTTGCTTTATAGTAAAAACTTGGTGCGCGGAGACAATTTGCATTAACTGTAGGCCTACGCTGTGGCTCATTCACTCCCTGTCTCACACGCACCAGTGGTGCCTCTGGGTGGCCCAGGTGGTGCTGCACCTGTTCTTATGAGAGACGCAGTCCGCCAGAGCACCTCAGGCTACAAACCTGGCCTCCTCCCTACCCTCATGTTCATCACTCACTCACGCACTACTTTTTATTCATTGGCAGTGGCATGAATGGTCGCTAGTAGAAATAATGAGTGACTTATTTGATCACAACATGGTCTCACTACTATACAACTCATTAAGTTGTCAATGCTTCTGAACATCACTGCCACATGTTCCTGTGTATTTAGGATTATTTTAGGTTTGAAGCTGATTATGTCATTTTTGAGAATGACTAACTCCTCTTCTCTTTTATTTTTTTAGGATTTACGGAAACAGGTTGCCCCTTTACTCAAGAGCTTCCAAGGAGAGGTGAGTGTGTTACTGAGAATTTATATTGACATAGTGATAAACATACATGCCCAAGCACAGCATTGGACCAATGCATTTTACAAAGTCCGTTTGACATTCATTGACTGGTCTCTCAGTGCCCTTCTCTCCTTTTTCCGCTTTCGTCTTTCCTCTTAAATCGTCATTTCTTCTCTCTCACTTCTCTCTCTCCTCTCTTCTCTCCGCCATCTCCTGTTCTTTCTCTTGCCACTATCTCATTTCCCCTCTTTCCTCTCCCTCTTTTCTCCGCTCTGCTCTGCTCTTGATTTTCTGTCCTATTCATGAAGTCCTGTAGCCCGAGGGTGTGTTTAAATTGCATCCTGCAAAAAAAAAGGCACCACAAAACCCCGGCTCTAGCCAGTCACAACTCACCGAATGCTATTTCCTCAGACTTTGTTTGTCTGCATGATTCGGCAGGGTTATTTGTTTTTTTCTTTCGGTGATCTAGTGAATCGTGAGCCATTTCTGTTCATTGTGGCACATTTATTTACTTTCAATTTAATGTAACACCCTATGTTTTTATGTACCTTGACCTATAAGAGGTGAATTTTGTGTGTGTGCTATATCATACTCCCACCGTTCCTCTCTATCTCCTCCTCCATCATTTTGGCCTATTTCCATCATGACTCCTCCTTACTGGCAGCCATGCATTTCCAGTTCACTCCCATATGTGAAAGTCAGAGGGTAGGAGTGGAAGCGGCTGGTTTAGACTGGGGCGTTATTTGGAGTTGGAGTGGGTGGACATTCATCCCAACAGTATCTCTTCCCTAGCGCACACACACACGCAGGGAAACACACGCATGCGCACAAACAGAATCATCTCAATAGATAGTGACAGGGCTGCTTTGCTACTGGCCATAGAATATTACAGTTTAACACTGGGTTAGTTTCCATATTCTTGTGTTAGAGCAGCAACCACAGCCAGTGGTTATGTAAAAATGCTGTAATTTATAGTGGTTCCACCATGTTCTGCTGATGATCCACAGTCTATTTAGAGAATAGAAACGGCAGCAGTATAATTGGGGCTTTGTCAGCTGTTTCCACCATCCTCATGTTGACACACCTCAACGGCGTGCACACCAGAACATGCTGAGGCACTTAGTGGGTGGTCGCGGAACTGAGAAAGACATTATCTTATGATTATTGAGATAATACTGTACACCCGCGCCAGTCTTAGAGCAGCCCATCAATCAGTCGACTATTCTGCGCAGTTGCATGCCACAACATGAGTAGCTCTGAGAATGTGTAATTTTAGTCTGGCTTTGTTTGCTTACCCCTCAATGCTTTGATCAAGGACAAGACAGCACCAGAAACCAGAGGGTCTTCCTGTTGAAGTCCCAGAGTAACTCATCCTTAAGCATTTTACCCAGGAGCTTGAATCTTTACTAAGTGAATGTGGTACCAGACAGAACAATAAAAAGTTTTAGCCCAGGAACTTGGAGGTCTTGATACTCTGTTTAATCTTTGTCATTGAAAGGTGGATGCCCTCGGGTCATAATTATTACCAATAACAGTACTGTTTCCACGAGGCCTCAGTTTGGTAAACGGGTTATGTGTGTCTATGTGTACTTGTGTTTGTGTGTGTATGTTGCATGCTCACTGTTCCTTGTTGGTCCATCGATCAGATAAGCTTTTCCATTATCCAAGGCTTCAGTCTCTGCTTCCCATAGCCTCCCCTTATCAGACTCCACTGGGGCCACACACGCACACACACACACATACACATGCACGCAGGCAACACGCGCAGGTCAGTCTGATGCCCTTCACACACTATGGGTTAGATAGGGGAGCGAGGCAGTGCTGAGTGATGGTGGCACAAGGTGCTGACGTATGTACGTATGTGTTTGTGTGTGTGTGTGGATGTGTCAGGGATACCTTTTGCAATTGCAAGCACTTCTCATCGGTAACCTACTGATACTGGTGAGGTATCATTTGTGTCACTTCATTTGTTTGGCTTGGTGTGTGTGTGTGTGTGTGTGTGTGTGTGTGTGTGCATGTGTGTGGGATGGGGGCAGGGGAGCATGTAATAGCAGATGTCATTGGGATTGGTTGAAAGAGCTGCAGTTTGGAACAGCAGGGTTGTATTTGCAAATCCTGGGTGGTCTTCTAATGGCTCTGGTCCTGCAGTTAACCTGCCTCTAACTGTAGGGTGTGTCCTACATTAAATGTCTATTTCCTGCCTCCCATGTTGGGCTATATAAAGCTGCTGTACCACTGACCTTGGCCCAGTCATTGTACAGTCACGCAGCTGGCTTCCTTCACTGCCATCGGCAGATCATTTTTTGCGTCGGTTTGTGAGTGAGTGTCTGTGTGTGTTTCTCCTTTATCATGAGATTGTGTTGTGGTACGTGCTCTTATATACACGCATGCACACACACACATTTTGATGCTGATGAACAGGTTTGGTGTTGGTGTGTGAGAGGTATTAGTACTCAGCATCAGTAATCTCCCATTAGTGGCCTTGCATTTGAGGATCCTGATCGCTCAATGTCACATAGCACATGAAGAGGGTAAAGTACATGATGCAGCATGATGTGAGAATGAGATATAGTAGTGGGATAGTGTGTGTGAGAGAGAGAGAGAGAGAGAGAGGGTGCAAGACAGGAGCTCTGTGCATGCCAGAGAGACATGACTGTATGACAGAGAAACATGTGAGAAAGACTGACACTGAAAATGATTGAGGGAAAGAAAAGAATATGAGTCAGAGAACATGGAAGTGACAAGAAGGAGAACTCGAGAGAGAGAATGAGAAAAAGACATAGAGAAATAAAAGGGGGGAGAGGGAGGGGTGCTGGCACCAGCCTACTCGGGGCCAGATGTTTTGCGGCTAAAAAACTAGAGATGAATCAAAGCCATGTGAAGAGATTTATTAGGTTCCCATAGGAGCCCAGGCAGTATTACATGTAGCCCGCTCTGTTTACAGTGGCAAGAACCCCTAAACCACCCATCAACTACACTACTGACTTGGCTGGGAATGTGAAGACTTTATATTTGGACTTATATAGGCTTTTGTCTTTATTCCTTTTCTCTTAGTCAATGTGCTGGAGGAGTTGGAAGAGAAACACAAGGCTGTTTAGTCTGAGTGCGTGAGCCAGAGTAGTCAGCTGTAGCTCTGCCCAGTACAGTAGCACCATCTGAATGTCTTTATTTGGCATCTGTTTCCCTCGATTTAGATTTGATTTCGGATGTGTTTCGCCTACTCTGTCTGCTTCTCATATTGAAGTGTGACACAGAGACTATAGTAGAGCTTGTTGCCTCATGTTGCAGCGCTAACAACCGTGTAGAAGTTCCTTCAGTATGATTTTAGAATTAATCTCTTATGGATCCATTCTAACGCTGTCCATTTCAATAATATCGGTGATGGAATGCATGCCGTGCCCTCTTGTGTTAATGGCTGCATCAGTAATGGATCCACACTGTATTGCTGCTAAGAGCTGACTGAATAATCTGCCCCTGCTGTGGCTGGAAAGACTGAGCCAGCTGTTTAATGATGTCAGCGTGCTGGAGGGGAAACGAACACACATATTTGTGCGTGCGCACACACACACACACACACACACACACACACACACACTCTGACCGACAGACTTAGGATAGACAGACATGGGCACGCGGCAAACGAAACGCATCCGTCATCAGCTGAACAGCTGAACTGACTTCACGGGAAGGAAACACCAACGCAGCCACTGTCAGGACAACCGCGGTCGCATGCAACATACTGATGCATAGTGAGGATAGACAGATATGTAGACTACTCTTACTGTGAAATTAATGGGCCTGCCTTTGGAGTCTATGGAAGTGACACTGATCTGAGGTGGGGTGACTGACAATTAACCATTACTTATTCTTCTTTCCAGATCGATGCCTTGAGTAAGAGAAGTAAAGAAGCAGAGGCCGCCTTCTTGAACGTGTACAAGAAAATAATCGATGTCCCAGGTAAGACTTGTGTTTAAGGTGTGTGCTGTGTGTGCATGTCTGTCTATGTTTGTCTAGACACCTCTTGAGTCCAAAAACGTGAACAAGAGACCCCTTTTATCCATGCAGACAGCACCAACAGGGGAAAGAGAAAAAGTATGACACCATCCCTCTGGTGCTCCTTCACTGTGCATCCAGGCGTGTGCAACGCCTTAATATGTCCCCACGAGATCATCCCCACTAGTGTAGCCTTTAGAGGGTCTTAACAGAAGGTGCATCCTGATATGGATGACAAGTGCGCCCATGATTGGCTGCTGCGAAGTGCACTCATGAGCAGTCACGTTCAGCACACTGAGGCTGAGGAGGGACACGCAGCACAGGGTGTTACAGAACACACACACAGCCACAGTGCTACTGGTTGGAGATTTTCAGCTGTATGGGAGCCCTGTAGGGGCCTTGTATGTAGGAATGAGAGAGGAGTTGAGTTCATCTATAGCGTAAGGAGGTCATAATATTCCCACATGGATAGACCTACAGTAATATCTTTGGATTGTACTGCTCCCAATAAGTCAGCGCCAGCTCTGACGGGGCTATTCTTAACTTGCAGCGAGACAATGATGTAATGCCTGATGCACACACGCACACAGACACAGACCAGCCTGACTAATGCAGCAGTCTTGAAAGAGGAAACAGTGTGTTTTGTTCTGTCTTCTATCAGCTGAAGGCCTGGTTAGTCAGCCCAGTGTGCTCTGCTTTAGATTAAAGGTGTCTGGCGAGAGTGTTCAGCACCAGTGGCCCACAAGTCAAACTGCTTTTAACAAGCTGTACAGTTGATTTGGAGAGGGGCCTATGTGAAGGACAAAGGTTTGATAAGACGGAGAGAAAGTTGATTTTCAAGGGCGCCCAGGCAGATAGGAGTCCAAATTCAGGGTATACAGTTATTGTTCCTATTGAGTGTTTGTTTGTACTTGTGTATATTTGTATGAGACTCTATGCAAGTGTGCACTTAACTGTGTTTGTGACAAGGTGTGTGTGTGTGTGTGTGTGTGTGTGTGTGTGTGTGTGTGTGTGTGTGTGTGTCTCAGAGTTTAGCCCTGCATGGTGTGTCACCTTGACAGCACAAAATCAGCATGAAATTCCCCAATCGTTCTCTGCTGATCTCTCATTAGCATAGTTAAGATATCTAACTGCGTCAGACATGAGACACACACACACACACACACACACACACACACAGCCCTTACCCCCAGCTGTAAGCTGTCAGTTCCTCTTATCTGTACAACACACACACATAAACACACACACACACAGAAACTGCTCTTTTAGCTGGCATGCTGATGAGCATCGCCTGCGTCTCTTGGCTGCCTGTCACCAGTCTGCCACCCATGAGCACCAATCAGATGTGATTGGCCTGACTGACAGGGCTCTCTTCATCACACTGACAGTTAACCCTGCTGTGTGTTCACAGAGATGTTGGTAAAATGCCTCCAGAAAGTTGTCTTTCTTCCTTCTGTCTCTGGTTCTTTAATCTCTTATTTACCTTTTGCATTGCCTGTTTTACGGCTTCACTTTGTCCATCTGTCTGCTCTCATGTTTCTCTTTTTTCTTGCTTTCAAGCGGAATCATAGAAAACACTTTAACTGATCATAGCCCAGTAAGCTCTGTTGTTAATGTGTCTCATCTATGTTACTGTCTCTGTCTCTCTTTTGGTATCACTTATCCAATTCTCTTGCTGTGTCAGCAGTTGACGCATTAGTTTTTTTATCCATGTACAAAACCAAAGTTTATCTCATAACCCAACAATAGTCTCTGTTGATAAAAAGTCTGATAGTGTGTCATTCAGTTGCCTTTATGGATACAGTTTTGCTGATAGAGAATGTGAAAACAAACCATGACCTTTCAGTGCTATGTGTTTTAAACAAACAAAATCTCTGTTCTTCTCTTTCTAATCACTGAAGTGCACAAAGTTTTTCTAAGTATCTACAGTAGAGCTTAACCGATACTGGATATTTTTTTTAGGTTGATATCAATATTTGAGACTTAATTCAAATCCAATAACAACATGTTTGCCAATTTTCAAATTTGGCTCATGGTTTCTTGTGTTTACCTTAAATAAAAAGTTGAACACAAAACTTTCTTATCAAAGGTGACAGTATGATAAATACAAGACTACAGGCATTTTTAAACAATAAACCTAACCAGAAAAAATTATTACAATTAATAGCCATGAATGAAAAGACACACAAAACATATTGAACCTGAATTAAGAAAAATATGGGTGGAAATATAAATATATAAACATAAAAATGCATCTTATGAAATGTTTGTTGTTGAATTTACTGCACAACCGTTTCTTTTTGTGTATGTGTTAAGATATACACACACAGATCCCTTTGATGATTAATCTGTGATAATCCAGTCTGAGTTGATAATATATCAAATGCACCAGTTTAAGTACATATAACTCACGTTATCATAATAAAGCTAGTAATTGTGATATTTTTTGGTCCTAGCAGTAACCAGTAATTCTCCACAGGGAGATCAAAGGTCAGGGTCAGCTCCAGAACAGTTCTCCTGGAGCTGTTTCTCTAACAGCTTGCTTCATTGCCTTGCTCAAGGACACTTCACCAGGGCAAACGCTCGTTCTCCCAGGGCCTTGAATGTAGTTATTCCTAGCTCACTATGCCACCTTGCAGCCTTTGTTTGTCTAATCTGCTCTGCGCTGTGGTAACGTGGTGTGTGTTGTCTCTGCCAGATCCTGTACCTGTGTTGGAGCTGGCTCAGCAGCTGCAGCTGAAGCTCCAGAGGATGCACGACATTGAGACAGAGAACACCAAACTTCGAGAGACACTGGAGGACTACAACAAAGAGTTTGCAGAGGTCAAAAACCAAGGTTAGAAAGGGACACATGCAGACGCACACATTTTGGGAGCTTATTGACTTTGAGAAGGGCATGGATGTAGGCCACACATTTAATCATAGATAATCACATATCAAAGTTTCAGTATTTCAGTCTCATATGTGGTATCTCTCCTACCATTACGACCAGTTACAGCCATGTGACCAAAACAAAAACTATGGTGGTAAACAATGAGAGAGTTCATACAGCGTGACCTGGAGTGAAAGTGAAATGGCTGGATGGATGTGTGCAAGTGTAGAATGAAGAATTTAGCTAAGTCTGAGCTTGAACTTAATATTCAGTTTTAGTTGACAACTACCTGTCATTTCGAAATACTTTGGTTACGAAAAATGATGATGATGGTTGTAGCAAAAAGTAGATGACAGTGTGACAAATGTGAACATTTAAAAAGTTTGTGTGAAAATGCAGCAAAATCCTTTTTGTGTAAAACTGAGACAAGTAATCATTTGCCACAGTTTTGCAGGTGTACTTGAAGTGTAATGTCACCGTTTTGTCTGCATGTCAATAATATGTGGACAACTTCTAAGTTCAAATGTAAGGTCAAAGAAACATATTTAAAGCCCTTTTCAAAGGGAAAAGCCATATTTGAACATATTTTAATGCCTTATAAATTTTTAAAAATCACAAAAAATGTACAAGGTTTTACATTTTCAAATAGGTTTTCAGGGAAAAAAACATGAAGCACAGTTTCATGAATAAAAAACGACAGGCTACCTCAGGGTAAAGAAAGATGGAAAAACTGACAAAGGCAGAGAGATGAGTGAGAAGCAGTAATAAAAGTGGTGTAATTTCAGTCGAAAAGGAGGAGTGAGTGAGCGAGCGGGGAATGTTTTGGAATCCCCCTTTCCTCAGTGAGAGTTAATTGGAACAGCTCGATAGCGGCAGGGTTCCATTCTGCCATTGATTTTCCTGTTCCCTCATCCTTTATCCCTCCTTCCCGCCTCAATAGATGGGGGATATTTAAACCCCAAAACACACTGTGGAACTCCCACTTCTGTTAAACACACACACGGACCCGCCTGCACACTTGCACATGCACACACACACACACATACAAAGAGTGCAGGGGCCATTGATCCCCGCAACCTAAATGTTTAAAGTTCAGTTAAGCAGTTAAGGGGTAAGAGGGCTCTGAGGGGACTCTCCTCTATTGATTATGTGTCAGAGCAGTGAGACTGGAGTTTAAATCACACACACACACACACACACACACACACACACACACACACACGCACGCGCGCGCACACACACACAAAGTGCTAAGAGCCCTCAGTCAAAGGCAGCAAGCAGCAATGCTCTTTATCATTGTCTCACTCACTTATATCTTTCTCTGAGAAACACGCGCGCACACACACACACACACACACACACACACACACACACACACACACACACACAGAGGCCTATTTATTACCCCAGTTATGTGTTAGATTTATTTCAGGCTGCCCCATACAGAGCTCAGCCGTCAGCAAGTTATGGGGTTTCAGCACTAATGCAGTCCTAATGAATACAGCATATCTACAGTTGGTGAATGGTGAATATTCTATACCAGTCATGGATGTAAAGATTAGGCAGGAGCCATAGGCCAAGGCCTTCGTCTGTGCTGACAGAGGAAGAATGCAGGATATGAAACGCTGTTCCTTAAGTAAAGGTCAACTCCCCTGTCAAAAGCATTATCGTCATCACTGCCATCTATCACATCTAGGAAACCCCTATAGTGTGTTCTCTATATATTTTTGCAAATTGCCAGTATTTGAACTCTTCCCTGCTTGTCTCTCAACACTCGTTCTGCTGTTACCCTCCTTTAGAGGTGACCATTAAGGCCTTGAAGGAGAAGATCCGTGAGTACGAGCAGTCCCTGAAGAATCAAGCTGAGAACCTGGCCCAAGAGAAGCAGCTCCAGCTACACAACGACTATGCAGAGAAGGAGAGGTATAACTGTGCCCCTGTGTGAGTTTGTGTGTGCACTACTGCAGCTGTGTTTCAAGTAATAACCTCTGCATTATTTTGCCATTTTAAACCTTTGGGTCATTTTGCCCTCAGGCATAACTGCTATGATTCTAATCTCTGAATGATAGGTTTAAGATTTCTGACTTTATTTAGCAGAGCTATTCACGCTTTAATAATTTCTTCTTAGCTAATAGTCCTTAGAGTTTTTCTCATAGTTATCAGTTTAATCAACAAATTCTTGCTTTTTCTCAGACGTTGCCTTCCTTTTGCAGATGAATGCAGGAATGAAAAATAACCTACATAAAAGACAATGCCAGCATTTTTGTCATGTGGGTGCTTGCCATTCTTGCCTTGATGGGAATCAACACCTCAGACTCTTATTTACTGTCTTTACCACAATATATTTCAGCCCTTTTGTTCGGAATAATTGCTGCCACAGAAATCTACTGTGTCTGTGAATATGCAGCAACTGAAAGAAACCCACCACACATATATAATGACAAAAATTATGCATAGGTGTCACTTTATTTTGATACAAAGAAGTTTACTTTGATTTACTAGGTTACTTCCTTTTCAAGCCCATTTCATCGGCATTTTGAAGTGTGTGATTTTCTGATACACAGGAAGCCTGTGGCAGTAATAAATCAACTCAAAATTGCTACGAGATATTTTAGGAACATGAAAAGAACTTTTCTGACTACTGAAACGATGTATTAACTCTTACAAAGGCTAGAATGCCCCAAGAGTCATTCTGATACTGTCCATTCCCAGCAAGGAGCCCATTCAACATAAAGACAATTAAACTAATTGCCTAAGATGCAGGCAGCCATAATATAGTTCCACTTTACAACAGACTTTGGCGCCTTTCCTCCTACATTGCTCACTTAATCCAGATTAATATGAAGGTGGCCAGGTCATCATGTGAAGCCACATTCAGTTTGGTTTTTTAAGTGCAGGTGTAGAATTGACCTGTCAATCTTAAATGTAGTAATTACGGTTAACTATGTACTCCTATTTTGAATTAAAGGGATGAATAGAGTCCAAATGATGAGCACTCATGTGATTAGCTGGTGCACCCTCGGGGCTTGAAGAGGCAGCATATTTTTACTGTGGGTAAGCAGGAGTTAAATGCTATGATTGACATGTAATAACTCAGATGTAACTTGGAGAGGAAGAAACACGACCAAAACCTGTCCACCAATAGTCAACCAATAGTCTCTGAAGCAGATCAAATACAGTACATAGCAACAGCACAGCATGGAGAGTATCTCCAACCATGTTAATGTGCAGGTTTTAGTGTCACACCATGCAGCTATAACAATGATATATTAACTCAAAACAGGTACAGATTTCAGATGTAATCCTAAATGATAGAGACACATTTTTCAAAACAAAAAAAAGAGGGTACGTCCTTTCAAAAGAAAAAAGTTAAAAAGGTAAAGTGGAAAATATTTTTTCATTTCATCATTGATGATTGATCATTTAGAAATATTTTGAATATTGCAACTTTGCTTGTTTGGATGGGATATCTGTTTGACATGTTTGTCTCTGAATTTCTCAGTAAAAATTGGCATTTGTTTAGTTAACATGCTTCTAGTTGCACCACTGCTTCCAAAGTACAAATCATCTAATGAAACAAACAGTTTGCTGATAACGGTCATTAAAACGCTTGAGAATAACTCGCTCTCAGTGATGGTTTTGCTAAGTCTCTGGCCCATTTTAAGGTGATTGTGTATATTAAATGCACATTACAGACCTCTTACTTTCCCTCATGTCAGTCATCGTGTTTGCTCTGTGAAGCTGCCTTAAAGCTCATTGCCCCTTTCAGACGTACAGTAGAAGATCAATTGTCCAACTGTATTTCCTGTACGTCAGTGTTTTATAGGCCCCTTCCTGTTTGCAGAGAGTTGACTTCCTGTGTCTGAGAGGGGCAGTAAATGGATGGCACCTTTGATGCATTTTACCCTGCAAGGAGTGAGGGAAGGAGGGAGAGAGAAAGAGAGAGAGAGAGAGAGAGATGAAAGGATGAAGTAGAGGGCAGAAAAATAGAGATGACAGGAGAGAGAGATTGGTGGAGAAGTGGGGCATCAAAGAGGGCCATAAAGACCGTCTTTGTGCTAGATTATTGATGTTTTTACACGCAGTGGTAATTTCTCAGCAGAGCCCAACTTTTTATATGCTAAGAATGAATCTATTTTATCCTTGTGGTTTCTGTCACCTCCTCCCCCCTCTCTACTCAACTCTCTCTCTCTCCCCCTCCTTCTCTCTCTCTCTCTCCCTCTCTCTCTCTCTGTCTCACACACACACACACACACACACACACACACCCCCTGGCTGCAGTGTGTGTGTGCCCCAGTGGCCAGACATTCCTGCCTAATAGGGCTGCTTAATGAGGAGTGGGTTGTGTTGGGAGGATTTTAGTGGGGAAAACACTTCAGAAATGGTGGGAAAATAGAGAATAGTTGCAGTTGCCACAAAGTGTGAACCAAGGATTTACTGACTCAGTATCTCTTAACTGTGACTTGCTGCTCCCTGCTCTCTTTTTCTCACCTTCTGTCTTCCTCTGTAGGAAACTCCAGGAGAGCCAGGACTCCATGTCCTCAAGGTTGGAAGAGGCTGAACACAAGGCCCAGTCCCTACAGACAGGTACCAGCATACTCAGTCTTTACAGACCTGGGTACTGTTTTAACCAGCTCGAATAAAATGGCAGCTTTACCACTGAAAATTAAGTGGTGCGGGCTTTAAAGCCTCTTAAAAATTGTTTCAGATTTCAAGTATTCCTCATTAAATGTTCATTCATGGCTTAAGTTTGGAAATAACATCCCTAATGATTATTTATTAAGTTTAACACTCAAAAGCCTAATCTGCTTCATCTAGTATAAATGGGTGTGGTTTGATCAGATTGACAGTGGCCAACATAAATAAATAACTCCATAACTATCACTTTAATCCTGTGAGAAAAACACAGGCAAAAACACAAACAGAAGTCTCTCGTGTGAAATAACCAAAACTACTGTAACTTTGTCAGAAAATTGTGTGTTCGTGTAGGAGTCCAGCTCATTGTAAGAAGCTGATTGAGTATTTTTTGGACCATCTAAAAAATATTGTTCATACTTAGATATTACACAGCATTCAAGGTTCTTCATTTGAATTCTGACTTGTCACAACTAACTCTTTTCCCGTCTTTTACAGCACTTGAAACAACTCAGGCCGAGCTCTTTGATTTGAAGACAAAGTATGACGAGGAATCCACAGCAAAGTATGTGTGTTGCTGATCTATGTGTGTGTTTGTGGGTGACTTTTCCCCTCTGGCTCCTCCATAGTCTGTTCCTGACATAATCATCCTGTTTAGTGAATATCCTTGCCTGGAAACTCCCCCTTCTCTCCCTAACAGCTGGATTGTATCCCACAACGCTCAACAGCCTCCAAATCCCAGCATTACCCACGCACTGTAAATACTGACAGGGATTGTAATGCATTCTGCAGCCACAGCAAAGCACCAAAATAGAGATTTTTTTTTTTGTGTGTGTTGTAGCTCTCTGTGATTCATCAGGGTCACGATAGAGAGGGGAGGCGACTGAGGGTCACGTTGAGATCTTAGACTTAAAGCTACAAAGGCTTCTAACAGGACCTGTTAGATAAGGTAGCTTCAATTACTTGAGCCATGGGCATCTATCATTATTGATCTTATAGTAGTGGTGAGGATGAGAACAGAAGCTTTTCCATGTCAGCACTCCACACTGTGAAGTGGCACTTTATGACATTCACACTCCTTATTCCCTCAGGGTAGAGTGACGGGAACCAGAACTACTCGAGCGTCCGAACCACATTCAGAAAGTTTCAGATTCTGAAAAGAAAAACAAAGCGTTTCTTTGGTTTTATTGGTAATCTGTGTACCTCAAAAACATTTCAAGGAAAGATTGCTCTTTCCTTGAAATGTGAACTCTTAAATCCAAGATGGTCAAGGGCATCCTGCACGCCCCCATACACAAAGTAGGACAGAGTATCAACTTGGCTTTTAAGGTTCTCCTCTACCCCATTTACCATGTCCCAAACTCACCGTCTCTCCATTAACAGAGTTGTTAAATTGATTGGCTGTTAAAAACAGATCAATCCCTCTTCTCTCATCCTCACAACACTTTTTTCCCCTCTTCTACCTCCCTCGCTCCCCCGCTTTATCGTTTATCTCCTGCGTTGTGCGTTTGTGAGTGTAAGAGGAAAGGCCACAGGAAGATATTACATGCAGTGTAATGGATGTAATCAATAGGTTTCATGGTCTATCAGAGGGCCCCCCCCCCCCGCCTGTTTATTTTCTTTCCTCATGACTATATTGCACTGCTCCTCTTCTTTCTCTCATTTCTTTACACTTCCTTCTTCCTTTTTCTGTCCTTGTCTCTTCCTTTTATGTCAGAAGAAAACACATTTTGAAAAGACACATATAGTAGGCCCCATTTGCTTACAGAAGCTAATAAACACATGCCCGCCCACATCCACACACGCTCACACACGCGCTCACCACACACACACACACATACAAATACACACACACACTCATTCGCTCACTCGTGAGCCTGAGGCAGTCAGGGTCCTTGACTATGTGGCGTGCTGTGATCTGAAATTTTAATGCAACGCTTTAAAGCACACACAAACCCTCTCTAACCCTGCACCCTCCCAGTCCTTGGAGTCCTTCCCCCGTTTACTGCTTGGCTGAGCAAATCGCCAGTGTTTGGCTGAACACAACTTTTAACCCTTTGACTGCATATATTTTGGCTCTGCAAAATACAAATGGCATCCATATCATGCACTTTTTCACACAAACACAGACATACGCACACACACTCACTTGCTCTAAACTTTCCACTAAGGAGGACATTGCGTGACAAATCCCCCATCCTCTTGCTGCATTTGGGTAATCTGCCTTTTAAAATACACACACGCACGCACACACACGCGGTCGGACGTACACACACTCTCTGAGAATTTGGTCGATGTAGCAGTGCCCGGAGTGTGTGAGCTTCAGCGGGAGGCGGGCCTGCAGATGTAGCGTAGCCCCCTCTCTGCGCTGGCGCTGTGAGGGTCTGGCTGGCCACATTTTACCCGTTTAGTCCCTGTTAAAGATTAATGATATATTGATCCCCAGCCCCACAGGATGCTGTGTATGTGTGTCCGTGTGTGCCTGCACCTCTTAGTGTTTGTGTGCAGCTTTATCTGTGTATAAACGCTTGATACCATTTTGGGAAAACCATTTAATTGCTGATAATTAGGCAACAGTCAAAAGGCTTTTCTTTCTTGTGTCCGTCTCAAGCACACACAAACACAAAATGGCGAACAACATACACACATACACACACACACACACACACACACACACACACACACACACACACACACACACACAGACACACTCTCACAGCTAGCTTCTTTTTAAGCCTCCTTGAAATCCCCAAGGTAACACGCTGTGAAAACGCAATGTGGAGAAAGCCAAGGAAAGAAAAGGAATGGAATGATGAAAGCTAGAGGGCAAAAAGTGAGCCAGGGGCTGGAGGCTACAGCGAGGAAGAGGGGATAAGAGTGTGATAGAGGAGGGAAATGAAAATCTAAATCAGGGGAATATCCTGCTGGCACCGAGGACAGAGGCCGAGGAAGAGAGGGCAAAAGATGAGAGAGGGGAGGTGGAGGGAAAAAAAGATGAAAGGAGAGAAAGTGGAGGGCAATGAGAAGGGAACGGGTTGAGGGGAAAGGATAGAGGCAGGCAGAGGGTGGAAGAGAAAAGCAGTTGAGTGAGGAGCAAGAGAGAGAAGATGATAAGAGATGAAAAGGCCTGTCTGAGATGGAGGAAGTACAGTAGGAGCTTAGAGGCTCTGGGCTTGTTTCAGAAGTCCTACAGTACTCACTGATGTCACTGGGTGCACCCATTGGCTTTCATGGTACAAAAGAGTGTGTGTAAGTGTGTGCGAGTGTGTGTTGTTTGTGTGCATGTATGTGTCTTTCCAGTGCAGCTGTGCATCTACTCTATAGCTCCTCCCTGTGGTTGCTGCATAGAGCTTTGTAGATAAGTTTTGGTGGCGTAAAATCAGGCCTCATCATTACGAAGGACCCTCCCTTTACTGTTCTGGGTTTGATGAATTAATTCCACTGGGTGCATTGGCTAACCATGGACAGTTCCTGCCCTGCCCAGCGACTGACTGACTGTATCAGGATATGCAGAAAATCCCTTCCCTGTGATCTGCTTTGGCCCTCAGCCTCTAGCTCAGCCTCTAGCTTTGCCTTTATAATTCCCAAATACAGCCAAATCCAAAGGTTATTTAAGAAGACTTTGTGCATCTGTACTTTGATTAAATGATCACATTTGGAGCAGGAGCGGTGGTGTATTTGGGTTGCATTACTACCCATAAACGCTCTCCATTACAAGCTTTTCTGGCTTGTTGGCTCACTGACCTTACATTTGTGTGTGCGGGAGCACAATTGAGCGTGCACGTGGGTCCGGCACAATATAGCTTAAGACAGGATAAAAGCTGGTGAGGTAGTGTACTATTATGTTGCTTAAATGCATACTAGATCCTTTTAACTGTTAGGGAAAGAATAAAAGCGGAGAGTGAAAAGCTCTCCCACCCACATCTGATTCTTTTTGCTGCATTGCCTGTGGCACAACGTTGACCTAATATCAACTGTGTCTGTTTTGTTAAACACATTCAAATCAGTAGTACTCAAGCCTATGGGACATAACACTGTTTCTTATACTGTGACACACAAACACAAAAGCTGCGTGGGTTATTGGGTTCACTATCAAAAGATTGCAGTGAAATCAAAAGGTCTTAATGCACGAAGCAGTGCACATATGTGCTCACATCTTTGCACTTGATGCCGCCCATGTATTATCAGTGAGTAATGTCTTAAATAAACATGCATGCATACACGCTGCCTCTTTAGCACTGCACTGAAGACTAGCCTTGAAATTTTGTCAGTATTTTCATGCATTCGATTATTGTAACTTCCTCATACGGAGAAATGCATTCATAATTTATCTTGGAGTGCGCACACACACACACACACACACACACACACACAGGGTAATCATATTCAGACAATTCAACAGTTCATGGTGTGAAAATTGAACACAAAAATATTAATATTCATTGTGTGTGAATTCTGTGTTGTTTTGCTTGTTCCCAATGTTTCTTCCACATCTCTGTCATTGTTTGCAGAAGAGCGATAGGTGTTCACATCACTCATGAAAAAGAGTTATTAAAAGTTATTTTTCCAAAGTCCAATGAGAGGTGGTATTATGGGGATGTATTCCTGCTGTCTGACCTCTAGCAAGTGAGAAGTGAACCATGGCCACCATCCAGACCATTAGTCAGACACAATCACACAGCTTCATAGCAGATTAGTCTGCTGTATTAGGACTTAGAGCTCTATTAATGTAATCCCTCTGTTTTAGTGTGGCCTGGGTTTAGGGGCTTACATGTGCACACCCACACACATAGGCACACACACACACACTTAAATACATGTATGCACGCACACATACAAGCTGTTTGGGTTATGGAGTTCACAATCAATGGATTAAGGTGAAATTTAGACAGTAGCTTAATGGACACGGCACTGGCATTCTCTAAATGTGTGCTCTCTGAACAATCTCGCACACACGTGTTGTGTGCAGAGTGTACTTTTCTTCCTGGGAATCATCTATCCATTTATCCATTCCTTGTTTTTATTTGTGAGCTCTATTTCAACGAGTCTCTTTAAAGCACTGTCACATGCTCTGTTGTGCATTTCTCTGGAGTAATAGTAAATGTCTCTCTCAGGGCCGATGAGATTGAGATGGTGATGACAGACCTGGAAAGAGCCAATCAGGTAAAGCTGCTCAACATCCTTACTGTACATTTTAACACAGCGTCGTCCAAATCATCTGTCACACCAGGCTCCATGAGTGTTATTGTTTAACTACAGACAAAGCAACTGAGTGCTTTGACTAAAATCGTAAAGAAAATATTGCATAGAATGATGTAAAGGATCTAGTCTGGTGATATTCTGTTCTTTCAAAGCCAACAATGAATATACTCTACTATTATTATTATTATACTATATTTATTATTATTCCTCTGAGCTCCACTGTTTTCCAAATTATTATAAACGCCTCATATGTCACGCTATTGCACTGGGTGACATGTTCCTTCATTACGTTGAACGTGCCCAGCTGTTTGAGTCCTGCTGCCGTAGATATTCAAAAGAGCACCAATTTTTTTTTTTTTTTTTTTTTTTTTTTCAAGATTTACATCTTCAGTTCGAACAAACAGGCTTGGGGCAGAGAGGGACTGAGAAAGTTTTATTGAGAAACGGCCTACCGCACTGTTGGTTTTGGTTTGTTTTTTTTTTAATAGGATTTTTTGACAACAAGAAAAGCGTAGAACATCCTAATCTTTGTCCTGTGAAAATACAAATATTCTTATCTGCTCAGAATCTGTGAAATGTGTCTTACATTAACGAATAATGACATGCTTATCACTGTGAAAGCTACTGTTTGTTTTATATCTTTATTACACACCTACTAAACCCATGCAGCTGAAATAAGCCCCACAGTGCGCCCTCTGCCCTTGTGTTGTAAATATTCCTGTGGTATCTGTTAATGTCATTGTTGTTAACTTTCATTATTAGCCCAAGAGTATGATTTGTGGCTAAAGGGGTAGCATAGGCATGTAATGTTAATATTAGCCTAAAGGTTAGTGCTCCAACTATAATGCCACACACAAACACACACACACACTATTCACACTTCTGATTTGAGGTTTACAGAGGATGACAGCATGGCCTCCAGCTCAGTCACAGACTTTTTATATGCTTTTATAAGGAGAAAATGGAAAACAGGATTTTTCTTTTTGCGACTAGCAGTCCAACTCCCACCCAGTCAATAACAACTCTCAATATGGTTGCAATTAAGAACACTGTGGAATCGGCTCCCTGTAACTCCTAATGATGGCAAGTTGGCCAGTGCTGCAGATGATTCCCAACTGGAGCATGGCAGTTTGGCCATAAATACAAGGCAGCGGGTATCATCTCAATTCTCAGGACTAATTTAATATTTGCAATTAAGGAAAAATCCACCCTTGGCCCTCATCCTACACTTCTACTTTGCATTCTCTCAGCCCTCCTTCACTCTGTAGTATATACAGTATTTGTTTGTAGTGGAAGGGGATGAACTTCCTTTTCATACAGAGACACAACTGACTGGTAGAAGAAGATGGTGTATTGGAAAGGATTCCTTCAGTTTGATTGTATTTTTTTGCCACTTGCCCATCGCTTGTACAGTGCTCTATACTTTGATGAAAAATGTTGAGATAATTATTATTGTTTAATGCCCAAAATCTTATCTCCAAACACCATCCAAAGACCGTTAAGTTGCAATAAGAATTAATTTACATTAGGGGTACCATGCTGCTTTTAACAGGACTTAACAGGACTTTTGCTTTCTGAGTCTTACTACTCTCTATTCTCTCTCCATCTACATGCATTAAAGGTTTTCAGTTTTCCTCTGGAGCTAGTGGAAAATTGTTAAAGAAATGTGTGTACACCAAAAAAAAAAAAAAAAAAGTGTAAGAATCTCGACAAGTTGATTTTCCTTCAACATTTCTCCTTTTCCTTCCAGCGAGCAGAAGCAGCTCAGAGAGAGGCGGAGTCACTCAGAGAGCAGCTGTCCTTGAGTAACCAATCCCAGCAGCTCAGCAGCCCGGCCAAGGCCGACCCCGACACGGTAACACATTTCACTGATTCACTGGATGGCTGACAAAGAAGTATTGATAGGCTAAAGATCAGCTTAGCCATTTTAATGCCTGAGGTGTATGGCTGGTGAAAGCTTCAATTTATGGATCACTGAAGTCACTGGTCATAGAGGTCAGGCATTGGAGTCACCAATAATGCATTGATTTGTTGACTTAAAAAGTTGCCACGGTGGCAATAAGTGATGGTGTATTGATTAACTAATTTATCGGACTGTACAACAGACTGCAGAGGTTTGACTTGGTAAACTTAAAGACTGTCTTCCGCACCAAAGTATCAACTTGTGACCGTCTGATTATTGATCTAAAGGAGCAAGCCTTTTGAAACGAAAATCAGCAGCTTCTGTCTGGCCTAGAAATACTAATTATATGGGACTTTTCATCACATCTAATTGTGGCTTTATGAATACTTTAATAGCTGTAAGGTTTTAGTTTGCTCATTAGATTAAACTGCCGTCCTTATTTGACCTTAAGGAACAGGCGGCAGAGGTGGCATCCCACTCAAGTCTGGAGGCGGAGCTCAGGGCCAAAGAAAGGGAGACCGCCCAGCTGGTGGATGACGTCCAGAGACTGCAGGCCAGCCTGACCAAACTCCGAGAGACCACCAGCTCCCAGATCACACAGCTGGAGCAGCAGCTCAGCAGCAAGACTGCCATTCTCAAGGTACCAACAGTACATGACATATAAAGATCCAAGGATTCATTGTATTATTTTATTCATTTTCATGTCATTTCAACTCTTTGTAATCCGCAGGAACTGGAGGAGAAACTGCAGAAACAAGCTGACTATGAGGAGGTGAAGAAGGAGCTGAGGTGAGGAGCACACACACTCACTTGTGTGGGTGTGTGGGTGTGTGGGTGGGTGGGTGTGCGTGTGTGTGTCTCCAGCACAGATCTATTTATTGCATGCGTTTGATGTCTTTAACCATATTAAACAAGATGCGTGTCTTCATTTAAGATGTGTAACTCAATTGAGTGCCCTTATGAAGGTGAAGCTTGCATGTCTGTAGCTTCACAGTACTTTGTGTCTCTCTCACTCACTGCCCCACTATCCTTTGTCCTTAAAGAGACAGAAATAGACAAGCTAGCATGCTACACAGTAAATGTGTCTCTGTTGGGGGTCATTTAGAATTTTTTTTTTCTATCTCCTCAGTATTCTCAAGTCTATGGAGTTTGGAACATCTGACTCTGTGCAGGTAAAAGTGACAAAGTAATAAAATCTGTACAGACATGAATGTCATTCAGTAGTGGACCTGTGAAACATATTGTTAAAGTACTAGTATCTAAGTCAAGACAAAATTGTACAATTAGATTTGTGAAAAACGAACATTTGAAGGGGAAGACCGGAGTAATTTTGTAAAACATCATTTTAATTTCCGTTCCGCCTGTCCTCTTGATCAGGACTCCTCCAAACCTCTGGAGGTGCTCTTGCTGGAGAGGAACCGTAGTCTTCAATCTGAGAGCGCCGCTCTGCGCATCGCCAACACTGAGCTCAGCGGTAAGTCTGTCCAAATGTAAGTTAACAATAAGGGCTGGGTTCATCAACACTGTCTCCACGAAACCGTCACTCAGACCAATGGAAATGAAAGAATGCTAACAGAAGCTGAGTCCAATATTCATGGGACCTTAGATGACGGCTCAGCTACAGGTAAGGCTGTGCAGGGATGACTATGAAAGAACTGTAGTAGGGAAGTGTATACATACCATATGTATGCATATAGATTCTTTTTCTCTGAGAATACTTAACCATTTATGAATGTTTTTGGGACATTGGGTCCTCTATGTGCAAAAGAAATGCAAAACTTCATCATGGTACAGAAATGTTGTTGCTCTCTGGTGTATCTCTGGTGTCTTTGAATACCCCAGCAGGAGGTCAACCTGAACAGTAACAAAGTTGCAGTACACAAAAATGAGGACACCATACTATGCCCCCTACATCAGGACTCTTGCCCTCTGCAACAGTGTTTATGGTTTTGAAATGTCATGGCTTTAGGCTTGAATAGTTGAATAGCTTTGAATTGATTAACATTCACAGTAAGGGGAGCTTACTGTCTTACTTAATCATGTTAAGTCTCAATGGTTATGCATTAGAATAATATTTCTCCCAGCACTTATCATCAAGATGGATTCTAGTAGTTACAAGGCTTGAGAAAATATAGTATATGTCTATATTTGTTTTGGTGAATGTAAAAATTTAATCAGTCTGACAATTTAGGGAAGATGTGAAATAAGGCCTTGACTCAGAGTCAACAGAGCTGTTCAGTGTCTGTTTTTGGTGCATGCATCTTTTTTCTGTTCAGCCATAAAAAATGTTTTTCAAAAAAGTTTTATTGCTCTGATTTCTCTCCTGGATGTTTTTTTTGTGAACTAAAGACTATGATTCTGCATCTACAATGGAATAAATCAGTGTTTAGGAACACATTCCAGCAACATGGAAGAGGACTCACATGGTGTATTGGCTATCTAAGGACATAATTTTACTCTGTCCAGTTACTTCCACTTTGCCTGCGAGAGAGAGAGAGACTGAGCCCTGGGCCAAGCTAACATGCCTAAGTGGCACAGTGTCAATTGTTTTGTTTGTCCTTTTTTTCTTCCAGGCTGTGGCTTACAAGAAAGGTTGAAATCACAAATGCATGGGCACTTTGTCTGGGGGGGTTGGCAAAAAAGGAAAATAAAGTTCACTAATTTGGAAAAGACATGAATCAGATAACTTTTCAACTTTTGTTATTTATTTCTCTCTCTTTTTGGAACCCCTTTTTTGTTGACTCCCCCATAATGCATGGTGTGTTTGACCTTTCTTGTAGGGTCAGCCGGGCGAAAAGGGACAGAAGAGTCCACAACGAAGGAGGAGACCATGCCCAGCGATCCCTCTTCCTCGCCCCCTCCTCCCCCTCCCTCTCTTCCTTCCTCCTCCCAGCTCCCCCTGTCTCGCACTCATACGGACCCCCTCAACACTGCCACCACCACCAGCAGCGGCGAAACACACCCTTTCACTCCTACGGGCATTGGACAGGACTTCTACTCCCCTGTGTTCCCTCTGGTGGGTGGTAAGATGGCTTTGAACTCCCTGATCCAGCGGCAGCTGCTCCAGACCTTCTACTCCAAAGCCTTGCAGGAGTCGTCTGGAATCCCCAGTGGGGCTCTACTGTTCACCCCCTTCACTCCAACCCTCAGCTCCATCCCTACCTCCACCCCTGGCTCTGGGTCTGCTGCCATCCCTCTGGCAGCCAGCAGCCCCCAGCCGCCTCCAGCCAGCCCAGACATGGCTCCCGTTAATGGGAGCAGCACCGCTGGCAGCGCCCCATCCCCATCACCCAGCCACTCTGACGCTACCACAGGGAGTGTTTTGGACGGGGAGGACATGGACACAGCAGAGATTGCCCGACAGGTGAAAGAGCAGCTGATCAAGCACAACATTGGTCAGCGTGTGTTTGGCCACTATGTGCTGGGACTGTCCCAGGGTTCGGTCAGTGAGATTCTGGCCAGACCAAAGCCGTGGAACAAGCTAACCATCCGGGGGAAGGAGCCCTTCCACAAGATGAGGCAGTTCCTTGCTGATGAGCAGAACATCCTTGCACTGCGCAGCATCCAGGGACGGCAGAGAGGTGAGTCTGTGTATCTTTAATGTGTCTATGCGTGTGTGTGTGTGTGTGTGTGTGCGTGTGTGTGTCTATGCGTGTGTGTGTGTGTGTACAGCCCTGCACAGAGCCATTGATTAGCTTGTCAATATGGACTAGCTTTTTATTTTTCTTTCTCTTTCCTAACTCCCATCCTGTGCCACACCTGTGTGTTTTGAGTGAGTTCCTAGTCACGCACTGATCCCAAGAGCCTCTCCTAGCCATTGTGGTCAATACAGAAACCTTTCACACATCAATAATATTGATCGGTGGGAACTAGGAGGAAGGCAGGGGTACTGTTAACTACGGGCAGATTCGATTAGCCTAGGCCTGCTTTTGTTAACGCATCAGGACATTTCTGATTGAAGGTGGTCTCAGTGGTACAAATAAATAGCAGTCTACCACCTAGTCCAAGACACAGTCCGTGTTAAAAATAGGCCACAGTTCATATGCCCCTGTTTAATACGTACTATTGAATAATTTATCCCTCACTAGTCAGTCTTTGTAGTAGATTAATATTCTTGTTAGAGGTTGTATTCCAACCAGGGCCACAGATGGTAAAAATCAATGCATTTAAGGTACTGTAATATGCATTGGATGGAAGTATTCACACATTCCATATATTTGCAGAGCATGATAGGGTACCATTTGGTCTAGCAGTAAAAATAACAAAAACAAAAAAAAAAAAACACACAAGTGCTGTAACATAGTGTGTGGTATATTGTTTTTAACAGAGGGCTCAGGCCAGCCCCAGCTTAGCCGAGTGTTTCAGGATGCTCCGAAGCGGAGAGCCCTCTCCGATACAGCTTCACACACAGGTCTGTCCCCTTCACACACAGAGATTCTAGCACGTTCTGTCTGTGTGGCATGTTTGTGTTGGGGTGAACTGTATCTATGGTGTGTGCGTGCGTGTGTGTGTGTGTGTGTGTGTGTTGCCATTTATTAATTTGCGGGCAGGCATACAGATATAAATGTGCCTTGAAGGTAACCGCACAGTTCCAGTGACTTGCGTCAGAGGAAAAGCCAGCATGTGTATTTAGGGATTTTATTGGTAGTTGTTATTCTGTGGGGAGCATTTACAGTACGAACCCTGTAGCACGTGTGCATGTGTGAGCTCCAAAGGGACCAGAGAAATTATGACAATCCCTCCAGTGTAGTTGCCTTGTAGCTCAGTGGTGGGAATGTTGTTCTTTGTGCTGTGCTATGGTGTAATTATTCGATGTCCTCATAATCTCCGTTATTGTTCTCCTTACCTGCTCTGTAGTCGGTTATGTCTGCTTTTTAATCTGACAAGGTTTTTCATCTCCTCCCATTCCCTCTTCCTCTCCTTCCAGGTAACATTACTGCTCGCGTCCGCACCCCAGAGGCAGGTTCAGATGAGGCCATCAAGTCCATTCTGGAGCAGGCGAAAAGAGAGCTGCAGGTGCAGAAAGCTGGTGAGTCGTAGTTTTTTTTTTTTTTTTTTTTTCTCATCTCCAGAGACGTCAAAGCATTGAGGATGATATATTGTGGCTGTGTGCGTTTGTCTGAGTCTCTCATGATGGCCCTTTTCTCCACTCCCTCAACAGACTTGTCCCATGCTCAACCCTCATATGCAGGACTGAAAGGAGGGGGCGGAGGAGGACTAGGAGGTGGAGGGGGAAGTGGATCAGATGAGGCCATCCGCTCCATCTTAGAGCAAGCTCGCAGAGAGATGGAGGCCCAGCAGGCTGCACTGGAGCCCATCCTCAAAGCCTCATCTTCCTCTTCCTCCTCAGCATCACTATCTCAGAGGGACCTGCTGAACTCTCCGCTCACCGCCCCCCTACCCCCTTACAACCCCCTGGCACTCTCCCTCAAGAAGCCTCCCAGCTCCCTCTTGTCCTCGCCCTCATCCCCATCTCCAGTCCTGGACTTCAGCTCCGGCATGAAGAGGGAGGGCAGGGCTTCTTCAGGGATTGACATGTCTGCTGACGGAGCTCTCAGGCTGGGTCGGGGCTCTGAGGGTTCGGCCCGCTCTGGAAGCTCTGGGGGGGTGGGTTACTGGAGAGAGCAGTGGTGGAGCAACATGCACACAGACACCCGCAGGAACATATCCAGCCAGACAGGAGAGGAGAACCACAACCAGGAGGACTCCAAAGAGGTGAGGGAGCGGGCGTGGGGAAAACAAAAGCCTGTGTGTGCTTTATCTGCTCTTTCTCTGTTTTTATGACTCTGTTTTTACTCTACAGTGGTTGCATGTCTGAGTCATTCTCCTTGTGTGTGTTTTAGGGAATATTGAGTGACAGTCTGTCTCGACACAAGCCGTGGAACAAGTTGAACCAGAGGAGCAGAGAGCCATACCTCCGCATGCAACCGTGGCTCAATGGAGACCAGGGGCAAAACACACACATCCAGCAAGCCCAGAACCAAGGTAAACAAATCACACAACACACACACACACACACACACACACACACACACACACACACACACACACACACACACGACACACACATACACATGACACAGTATCTGGATTCACACAACCAGGCTCCTTGGGCTAGAGCATTACTCTGAAAGCCTGATTAGAGCTAGTGGCTAGTTGTTACTGTCAGTCTGTCACTCACCCCACCCACACCCCTCCTCCTCCTCCCCTCCCTCTCGCTCACCATTCTCCCCCCTCTCCTCCCACCATCCCCCCATCCCCAGTGCTGTGGCAGTGTCAGCCAGCAAGCTGCTGGTTTGTCATGTCATAGACAAGTTAGTGTTGCAGCGCCAGATGGCAGCTCTGTATGTGTGTGTGTGTGCGTGTGCGTGTTTCTCTTTCTCTCTTTCTCTCTGGGGGTGTAAACAGCAGCTAATGTACACTGACAGCTCCTCATGACTGCTCTCTTCCAGCCTGCTGAGCTGCACAGCAGTACTACACAGACAGAGACAGGGAGATGAAGGAATAGGAGGAGGAAGCCAAAAAAGCTTCAAACTGAAAACTTAAGCACCTTTGCTGTTTGTTTAACAGGAATTAAATTAGTTGATGTAATATGACTGAAGTCCCTCCCAAACGCAGCAGGAAGAGGAGATGAAACTGTTTTCTTACACAGTAACACGTCTCCTAACCTGTGTGATCTTTCTCGCCCTGTCTGTTCTGCTCAAGCAGAGGGTACTCCCAAGACATCAGCAAGCTGCAGTCCCGCTCCAGAGTCGCCCCTCAGTTCAGCTGAAGAGTCTGTCAACGGTCTCGCTGGGGATCCACTCGCTTCACACTCCTCTAGTCTCAAACCTCCGTCTGAGGATCCCTCAGGTGGGGAGTCTCAGCCTGGCACCCCGCTGCCTCTACCTGGTCACTCGGGTCTCAGCATCCAGGAGATGGTCGCAATGTCTCCTGAGCTTGATACTTATGCCATCACTAAGAAGGTTAAGGAGGTGCTGACTGATAATAACCTTGGTAAGAAACACAGGGGTCATATTTACCCTTTCCTGCTGTGTTTTGTTGCTGTCTGTGCAGTTTAGTTAATATTTCCCTTCCCCCTTACTTTGCCCAATGGTGAATTATTCAGCCATTGAATCAGTTCTCAGAAATGACCATTTCATTTCCCCTCTCTCTCCTAACCAGGCCAACGTCTGTTTGGGGAGACTATCCTGGGTCTGACTCAGGGTTCTGTCTCAGACCTGCTGGCCAGGCCCAAACCCTGGCACAAGCTCAGCCTGAAGGGCAGGGAGCCCTTTGTCCGCATGCAACTCTGGCTTCAGGACCCACACAGTGTGGAGAAACTCATGGACATGAAACGCTTGGAGAAGAAAGGTGTGTGGTAGAAGCTCAACGAGGAGAAATAAATGCACATCCCATACAGTGCAGCATGCTGTCAGAAATGATAAACAAAACACTGACAGAAAAAGCTTTTTGTTATCTGCTTAAGCATGCATTTATTTTATGAATTCGTTCACAATAAAAGACAAACAGCAGCCTTGGAATTTCACATGCACATCTGCACTCACAGTATCCTTTGTGCAGGACAGCAGAGCATGTTGTGCAGATCACAGTCATCTTGGTGTGATGTCAGTACCAATCAGGACTGCAGACATCACATACTGTATTAGATGTGACAGCTAGGGGACTGCCGGGGGCCTGCTTACTCACAGTCATCAGCATTCCTCTTCATCATCGTTATCATCATAATGATCATCAGTGTCTATAAGCTCGTATTTTTATCATTTGTTAACCCACAGCCCACTCTATCACTCCATCATTCTGTATTCCTTTCTGTGTGCACAAAGCGTTTAAGAATCAGCTCAGCCAAGAGGCCTCACCCTCCTCGCTGCCTCAGAGTGACCCCTTACTGCCCACTTCAAGCTCTCTCTCTGTGGACATGCATATTTGAACCTGCCAGTAGGCACAAGCATCCAGGATCAGTTTACCCTCCTGATATCGCTAACTACACACAAGGGCAAAAAACAAAACTGACCTTACACCAGTGTGTTCAGGGGTTGGACGTGAGGGGTTAGTGTCCATTCAACTTCGTTTTAGATTATTGACCCCAAAGTAATGCATCCAAATAGCAACAGGGAATAGACCAGGCTAGCAGCAGAGCCCAGAGGAAAGACATGGACCTAGTCTAGAGTAACCATATTTGACCTCTCACCCTTGTGGTACAAGCCTGTGAGGCAGCACACAACTTTCAGAGTGGTTCTAACCTTGCTCTGAGGGGTTTTTCCCTGCAACACTAATATATCTCGCAGCGTGTATTGGGGTTGAGAAAATGTCAACCTCATGCGAAGCTGCCATGAGCTGTTCATTTTCAGCTGCTGGTGCCCGGAGTGAATGGTGCTGCTTGTTTGCTATAAAATGGAAGAGATAATTTCATTGTTAGAATTCCTGAGTAAGACGACAGCACCACCTAGTGGCTGTCGATGTCAACAGGATTATTTTTCAGAACACTACAATAATGCACAATAGGTAACACAAAACGTTTCTGGGTTGGATGCATTTGTCAAACTTGGAACATCCACTGTGACAGAATCCTGATCAACAAGACCGTCTGACTAAAGCCTTTAAAAGGTTTACTACTTACCGTCTGCTTAGCACTGAAATTACAACTGAAATTGACTGCACTAGTTCTACTTGACATAAATATTGCTTGTCAAATTTCATGCTCATCAACACAGACAGATTTGAGACCAGACCACCAATCTGCTGCCGCTATGATTTTATGATTGATATTCCCCACATTTGTTCATTACATAAATGTATTTCCTGAGGTACTAACTTCCCCCTCTTGTCTCTGTGTCACTGTCACAGCCTACATGAAGAGGCGACTGAGCTCCTTGAGTGATAGCCATTCTGTGGACGGGGGCTTGGTGGGGACAGATTACGTGCAGGGCTCCCAGAGCCCGGGGCAGCAGCATCTGAAGAAGCCCAGGGTGGTGTTGGGCCCTGAGGAGAAGGAGGCGCTGAAAAAGGCTTACCAGCAGAAACCCTATCCCTCCCCCAAAACCATTGAGGAGCTGGCCTCCCAGCTCAACCTGAAGACCAGTACTGTCATCAACTGGTTCCATAATTACAGGTCAGCATGTGGAAGAAAGAGGCACTTCTATATATACAGCTATATAACGGTACCTTTGTTGCTTGTAATTGTGTTTGTTTTATTGAAAAATATTTGTAGGTTTCCAGATCATAACCTCATCTGTGCATAATTTAACTTTATAGAAAGGTTTTTGTATTTCACTCTGCATAATAAATCTTGTGTTTTTATTTTGTAGATTATTTTGGACATATTCTCAGAAATTACCACAATGAACAGGGGCTGTTATTACTGCCCTGTTCCATAGAAAAGGACATCAGTGCACATAAGCAATAATTTGAGATTTTGTTCTCAGTATGTGTTGTTTGACAAATATATCATTTTATAGTTTGAGTATTGTGACTAAACCCATGTGTCTCTACTAGGTCACGTATCCGGCGAGAGCTTTTCATAGAGGAGATCCAGGCAGCTGGAGGAGTAGGGCCTGGCAGTGAGGGGGGATCTCCTTCCCTCCGTGGGTCCAAATCAGGAGAGGGGGACAGCTGTGATGGGACAGAATCTGAGGGCACAATGGAGACACGCCAGGGACTGGGCATTGGCCTGGAGGATCACAGAGGAGCATGCAAAGACCACGACATGGAGGCTGAGTCTGAGGCAGGGGGCTCTAATAACTCCCCTGCTCAGATAGACTGCACCACTTCAGGCTTAGCCGGGCCAGGCTCCAGCTGTGGACAGGGTGGACTAGGGCTCTTCAGCCTCACAGAGGCATCCTCCAGTAGCCATGCCTCTAGTACTAACATCCCAGCCTCTGGCCCTGCCAGAAACCCCAGGGACAACAATCTGCGCAAGAAGAAAGCAGCCAATCTCAATAACATCATCCACAGGCTGGAGAAGGCTGCCAGCAAAGAGGATCCCTCAGAGTGGGAGTTCTAGCTCCCCCTGACCATCCTTCATCCCTCTCGTTTCATAACCTCACGACCTCTAACCTTGGACCCCTCCTGCTCTGTTCCAGTTGGAGAGTGGACACAGCCAAAGTCAAGCTCAGCAGCCATTTTTATTACATAGAAGCTTTCCGAAAAGAGGAAAGAAACAAAGAGTGGTTGGCAAAACCCTGAAAAGAAGATTTACTGAATACCTAGAAGAACAAAATAAGAGAACTTAAGTGTCTCTCCTTTTTTTTTAACTGAGTTTTGTTTTTGTACTGAGAAAAGCACTTAGCCGTCCTGCTGGCCTCCGGCCCTGCTGTACCTCCCCCTATCACCAGCCACTGGTGCACCAGACTGGTTAGTCCTGAGCTGGGGTCTGACCCACAGCTGGGGTTGAAACCTGGACTCAGTAACACAGGCAAGGCCTGACACAGCAGCTGTCACAGTGATAGACACTGATAGATGATAGATAGAGACAGGAACTCTCTTACAAGAACTCTCACTTTCTTAAAGGAGATTTTTTCCGCTCTTCTTCTCACCTCCCAAGTGTCCACAAACCTCCCCTCACTCAGTGAGACGCCTCATTTTTCACACTGTAGAGTGACTGTTACAAACCCTTTGCCTTTTTCACTCACTGCGTGTGTGTGCGTTTTTGTATGTTAGGGGTTGTGTCAGTGTGCACCTGTGTGTGTGTGTGTGTGTGTGTGTGTGTGTGTGTGTGTGTGTGTGTGTGTGTGTGTGTGTGTGTGTGTGTGTGTGTGTGTGTATGTGTGTAAACACCAAAAATGGTGTGTGTGTGTGTTTGTGTGTTCTCTTCTCAATGGCAGCATGTTTTCTTTTTTATCTCACTCCTACACTCTTAAGAGGGTAGTGGAAGGCCTGCCGGCTGAGCTGCCATGGTTACTGATGTAAGAAAGATGAACTTTGACCTGTTGTGTCCCATAACCTATCCTGCTGACAGCCATGTGATGGCCAGAAGGATCTCTAATTCCTCACAAACACACGCACTCATCTGAAGAGGAAGGAAGGAAGGAACCCTCTTTTTGCCTCCTTAAACCCCTTCTTTTAAGGATGAAGGATGATCTCTTTTTTTGATATTGCAATTTGGTTGCCAATAAGAGATTGCACAGTCTATTGACTCTAAAGAGTACAAAATAGGGAATTTTAGGAAGCATTTTAATTAGTACAAAATAAGAACAGAAAATAAGAAAATAACAAGTTACTGTTTTTAAAAGAAAAAAAAAAACAAATTAGAATGGAATAATGTTGCATTGTTGAAATACGATACAATGAATTTCACGTAGTACTGTAGCTGTCTGACATGGTGATACTATACGTGTCTCTTGTTGTTTTAGGTTGTGCATGTCACAGCTTTACCCAGCACTGGATCTGCTGGGTGTGTGTGTCTGCACCACTGACAAAATTTCTCTGTTCACAAACACACATCTTTTTATAGGCCAAATCAGGAAGAGTGTGTGTGTGTCTGTGTGTGTGTGTGTGTGTGTGTGCGTGCGTGCGTGCATCTGTGTGTGTGTGCTTTGCTGTGTTTGTGTGTCTTGTGTGCATTTGTATTTGCCTGCATGTAAGTCAGGGTCGAGGTCAATTCACTCAGAGTTAAATTTAAGAAGTAGATTATTAATAATGAAATTCTTGACTGAAAAAATGGGTTTTAGCGAAAGAATTGCAATGTACAGTACTTGATTAATCTGTACTTTCTGTTGATTGCCGTCAAAGTGAATTCACCCCAATCCTGGTGTGAGTAGTTACCACTCTCCTCCAGTCTATCCTGTATCCAGGGATGTAAGTCTTTTGCATTGAATTCTACTGTATACACTACAAATTATAAGGCATATCACCTCCTCCCTGTCCCACACAAGCCCTCAGTGCCTGTCAGCCCACTGCCTCCCCTCTGTGTGTATGTGTGTGTGCGCGTTTGCGTGGGTGCATGTACACGCATGCTTGTCAATACATGCGTGTGCACACGTGTGTGCGATTGAGGAGTGTTCAGTGTTTCCAATGAGTGGGGTCATATTTCGTATCTACTTGCACACACTACTAGTGCACAACTGACACCCTTCTTTAAGCTGTTTGATGCGTTACCATTACATTAATCTTCTCACAAAGTAGTGTAATACTATGATTTACTGTAGCTTGGTTTTATTGCTATTTTGCATTTATAGTTTGGTTTTTATTCTGCTTATTTATAGGTGCTGTATTTTTCATTTAATGTCTTATCATTTGAGTTGTTTATTTTTTAAGGGATTATACTGTTCCTGAGGGCAAGTAACATTTTTATTAGACGTATAGACTGCCGGCAGTATTGGTTAATATTTACAAAGATGTACTAGTTCTCATTTGTTTGTATATTCATGAATCCTAAAGTTTAGTGTCATTTCAATAGCTTTGAAAAATGTGTTTGCTACAGTTCATGCTCCCGTAAGCATAAAGCTTTTACCACAACAGTTATGCTCTCAAATTGCTAGCTAGAGAATCAAAGGACATATCAAGATCAGTGAATATATGATAGCATATCTCTTTTCCTGTTTTCTATTCTCCAATTTTTTTGGCTGTTTCTTGGGCAAGCCAAACACTAACGCTCAGCAGGGCATGCAGCTTTCTTTTAGATAGAGTTCGCCCACTCGTTAATCATGTTGACATAATTAACAGGTCCAAATGTATACACTTTGTCAAATAGGTCAAATGAAATTACCTGAACTTGAGAACACATGTTAACTTGAAAGAGGTCATATCTGCCAAATTGAGATTAGAGAAGTGTACCAGCTAGAAGGTTTGCTATGCCAGATTGAACAGAGATAGCCAGCCTATGATTATGCAGAATTTATATTGCAGTCCATAACAAAGCACTTATTAGGATCTCTTTTTTGAAAACTTAACCTAGGACAGGGTCTGTAAACACTACAGCAGAGTACGGTCCCGGTATCCTGGGAAATGTATGCCTTTTTTAAAAGTGGTTGTGAACCAAGCACAGACTCGTATCCACATCCTAACACTAAACAATGAAAACATGAGATAGCTGTACCCCTGTTTTCTATATAATGAACTGCATTCTTATACAGCAGCCCCTTAGTATAAACTACAGATGACTGTGTGACAGAAAGACGTTGTCCTGTACAGATGTAGATATTATGAGTAAACACCTGTTTGGGTTTCTGTCCAAAATCTCCTCAGTCCATCCTCAAGCCTCCCCATTCCCTGAATCTACATCCAGATATATTGGCAGCCTGTCAAAAGATACTGATAACCTCATTGCACTGCACTAAGATGCATTAGTTAAAATTGGATTTTCTAATGCATCTAATAATTGTAAAATTCCTCAAACATTGGCTCTTCCTGTGGACGACTGATGTGAAACATCTGTCTTCTGCAGAGTAGTGAAGGCCTATTGCCTTCTGTTGGACTGCTTGGACTGGACAACCACAGTATGTTTTATGGTGATGAATAGCTACTGTAAAGTATAAGCACTTAACCCATTAGCCATTTTATAGCCAGATCCATCAACTCACCTAAACCATGTGAGATCATCAGATTTGTGCCTTTAACTGCCAAGCAGGGCACCAAACTAGTGATGTCATTAGATGTAGACGATTTCACCTGATTTGTTCATAATCTGTCCAACGTCTTGATCCAACTTTATTTCTCATACACTTTGTAGTGGTACTGAAAAGTCAACTTTTCTCAGCTCTCTGGAGAGGGTTGTATATAATTGCTGGAGTGCAGTGAAACAGTAAAAAGAGAAAACAAACTCTTGCATTCTTATGACTGACCTGCAGACACGTTTCGGTCCAGGTCTTATTTCAGACAGTTGTTTTCCCACAATGCATTTCTTACGTTGTACATAACATAACTAGCAGCGAAAGGCCAGAGCATTGAATGAAGGAGGAAGCATGCAGAAACAGCGTACACTGTAATAACACTGAATTTATTCATAGGGCATTTTGTATTTTTCTGTTTGTGTCAGGTTTGCTGTGACATTAATAACGGCACTACAGGTATTGATAAATGACGTGTGCCAATTCTAATGGTTATTTGGAAAAGAGACGTGTAAATACAGTCGATCAAGTAGCTATTGATTCACTATTGTCACAGTATGCTTTTGTTTGAAGGCAGGAGGAGAGAAGGGACGATTCAGGACTTTTCCATGATCCACAGATATTTTTCTACAAATTTAAATCAGATGATTCTATACACTGTTGAATAACATTGTAAAGGTGTAACAGATGCTGTATATCATATCATGTTTTCTGAAGTCGTAAAGCTTTACTGTATGATCTGTTGAAGTAGTGGTTATTCATTTGACATATTAGTTGTAATGGAAGCCCGAACAGCAGCACTGGTCACCATATTCAGGAAAAAAAAATGAAAGAAAAGAAAAAAAACCTCAGATGTTTTTTGTAATACTTTTAGAATATATCTTATGAAGTGGGTTTTGTAAGGAAACACTTTCCGAATCAGTGGTGCTGTATGCATAGCACACTCAGTAATACATACACACATAATACAGCACAATACACTCATCCTTTTAAACCCCCCCCCCCCCTCCACTTTACTCACATGCTTTTGGTTTTTTCGCTCACCTCTCTCATTGGTTCCAGCGAGTTTTAAGTTGTAAACCATTTCCTCGTTATCTTCTCAGTTATTTCATGCTTAACTGTACAATTTTCAACACCCAGAGATCAACTCTGGAACAATTAACATTTCAGTGAATACTCACAAGACTTAAAAGAGGAAGCAAAAAGCCAAATAGTGAAATAGTTATCCACCTCTGTTGAAAGGTTGCTGACAGTTTTCTCTATGTTGCTACCTAGTGTTGTCGCTTCAGTTCACCTATAGCTTAAACCACAGTGTAGTCTGACAACCAAATGACCTGGGGAGATCTTCAACCCCCCACCCCCCCTAACCCCCCACCCACCCACTTTTGGAAAGCTTTAAGATGCTTGTTGAGGCTTTAGCAAGTTCAGAGTGTTTTTAGATGATTTTTGTCCAACCTGTCATCAACAATGTGGAAGTAATAATTCTCATAACTTCTCCCACTGCTTATTTTGTGAGTGTGTGTGCGCGTACGTGTGTGTTGTAGTACAAAAGGCTGCATGACTGTAAAGGGATGGTTAAGATGTTTTTTGAAAGTCGTTTCCCTAGCACTTCTGTCACTCCTGAGATGCTTTTTTGTCCTTCGGGGTCTCCCTCCCTTTCGTTTTTCCTCATGTATCATTGTTTCTTTATCTTTCTATTTACTAAACGTATCATGTTGTTTGTTCTCAGCACTGTAAAACAGTCCCTTCTACAACATTGAAAAGCAATATCACTGTATGAAACGTTCACAATGTATTTGTTATGATTGACATTTGATTCATCATCATTATTATTCACATGCACCCTAGGTGTGATAATTGAAGTAAATCTCTTTTATACAAATACTAAAAGTGTGCTGTGGAAGTTTTTTTTTTCTTTGCTGAAAACCTTGTTGGAAATATACTTTGCTAAAATAAAATAAGTATTCTCAGAGAAAGAGATTAGTAGGAAATACTCAGACAGTGGGGGATTGTGGGGCAGAAAAGGGCATCCCACAGGGGTTTTCAGTGATGTGGATATTGGATTGCTTCTGCCATTTACAGCTGCTACAGGTGAGATATTATGGGAACTATAAATAAAATCTAAAGATAAGCAAGATGTCTACA